CAAGGTCGTGAGGGCCAGTTTTGTACAACCAAAATGCCTTCTGCTTGGTCATTCATTATTTTCCTGATCACTTTTAGAATAAGCGCGAACGGAGGGAAAGCATAAAACTCCAGATTAGCCCAATCTGTCGTAAAGGCATCTATTTTTGTAGCCTCCGGATCCGGAAACCAAGAACAGAAAATTGATCATTTTGTGTTAACATTTGTTGCAAACAAGTCAATTCTTGGCTGGCCCAACTTCGCCACAATTTTCTTGAAAGCATAATCTACCAGCTCCCATTCCGTTTCTCCTGATATTATGCGCGATTCTCTAACAGCTTCAATGTTTTGGGATGATTTAATGTACGTGGCTTGAATCCACAACTTTCTTTATTGGCACCATTGCCAAATTTCTTTGCTAAGTGCCGACAGCTTCGGATATTGTATACTACCCATTTTGTTTATATAGCTAATCGCGGTAGAGTTGTCTATCCTGAGTAAAATTTCCGCAGACTATGTCAGCAGCAAAGCATTTGAGTCCGTAGAAAGCGGCTTGTAATTCAAGCAGGTTAATGTGGTTTTGCTTCTGCCTATCACTCCACCAACCATGCGAGTATTTGCCTGCGCATGAAATTCCCCAGCCAGAAAGCGAGGCATCGGAGAAAATTTCTAAAATAAATTTCCATTCTCTGATGGGATGTTATTGATCCACCAATCAGTCCCACGACAGTCGGGTCTACGTAACCGGAACGACCCAGATTTATATCTGGCCAAGGACTGTCACTCCAGCAACACTCCCCAAAAACCCTTTGGGGAACTTGTATGCTGCTACAACAACAACAACAACATCCACCAATCAAGATCTTCGTGCAAATAAGAGTCAATATGAACTTTTTGCTCGTAATCACCGTTTCTTTTTCTAAGAGCTAAAATTTTTTATCTCAAGATGCTTTGTATAAAGCATTCCATATTGAACTGCAGGACAGGCTGCGATAAGGTAACCTATAAATTGAGCTAGAAACGTAATTTTCACCACAGACATTGACTTCAGGTTTTTGGCTGATATTTTGATTTTTTCTCGTTTCTCCAATGGAAGACTCATACAAATCCTAAAAACTTGCAGATCGGAGACGGTTCTAATTGAGATTTTAGCCAGTTTTTCCTGAAACCTAATTTTTGCAAAAGCGACGTCGTCTCCGCGATGTTTTTTCCGCAGAGTAAAGCTGAATCTCCTAATTGGAGCATATCGTCAAGGTACACGACTGATTGCCACTCTCTCGACCGTAACTCTTTGACGACTGGTCATTACTCTGGTAAATATATAAGGAGTCACCCATAGACCTAAAGGTAAGCAATTAAACTCGTGCAACTGTTTTGTAAACATAAATCTCAAAAATTTTCGGAAACATTCATGAATTGGTATCAGCAAATATGCATCCTCAATGTCAATGGGGGCCAAGAAAGCGTTTCTTGAAAGTATTTGTGTTACCGTTTTCCAATCCTCGAGCTTAAAATGAGGAGCAACAATAAATTTATTTAGCATTTTCAAGTTTAAAATAAAGCGTTTCCCGCCACTAGGTTTTCCAATTAAAAATTATGACGACACGAATTGACCCTCACTTTAGTTACATGCACTAATTGCACCTTTCCTCAGAAGATTTTTAATTTCTGCTTCACAGTCAGCGATCTCCTCATCGTTAAAATGAGGTTCATTGGGTACCTGACTTTGATATACACCTGAGCAAAATGAAATTTTATATCCAGCTATAGCCTGCAATGCTATCACGTCTGAGGTAAGTTGTCGGCAATGGCTTATAAAATATTTCAACCGCCCTGCAATTATGCATACCTTAACTAGCGACGGTAGTTGCTGCGATTCCTGCTCCGATGATGGCCTGTTTTGTTCCGAGATACATTGCCCCCTGTCAGGTAGCTCTTCCTCTGGTTGTACTTCCTGACGGGGTTTCGAGTTTAAATATTGCTTCGGCTTATAGCCTGATACTGGCTTCGGAGTTGCAGTTGTTGAGATAGCTGACGATGTCTTTTCCTGCTTTCTCCAACGTTGAGGCTGTCTTGGCCCGTTTGGTGAAAGATTCGCCAAACAGGAGCGTGTCCACTGGACCCTCTGTTGCAACACTTTTGGACAATAAGGTTAGACCAGGCAATATAAATGAGCGCCGGGGTGTAGATAGCTTGTAATGCAAGTCTGTTAAAATTCTGCCTGCGTCTCCAAGAGCTGCATTAACGGCCCTATTTGTCTCATCTTCAGGGTCTTGTTTCAATGTTTTTGAAAATGCTTGACCCAAAGCGCTTAATGCCGCACCAAGCTGGTTTTGAAGCGCTAATTGAAAACTATCTCTTTGGAGAGCATGCGGCGCCAGTGTTAATTTCAGCTCTGGGTTTAAAGCTGGACCACCCAAGCCGGGACAGTTTTCCGGTATTGGATATTTTTCTAAAAGTTCTTCTCTACCCTCTGGTGGTAGCCCTGACCTTGCTAGAGCTAACCACTTTTCTGCGATTGTTGAAAAATCTTCAGCCCTTGTCTGTGTGTTACAGTATTTGGAGCAATAAATGCCAACGTGGAGTCCGACAAGACCACTTCACGGTCTGGGGACCCCGGCGACAGACCCGAATATTTGGCCGGCTCGGTACACTGTTCGCCTACTCCACTTCCTGAAGTTAAGAAATTCGAGCGATTATGAACAATGTCAGGTGAGTTGCCTGACGCCCGTGTCGGTGCTCGCAGGTCACGCTCGCCGGGGTTCATTGTTTATACTGGTTGAGGTGTCGTTCTTTTCGAGATACGCTTTCCGTCATTTTGATCAGAATTTCGATGATCATCCATGTAGCGTACTCTATTAGCATTTCCACAAACTCACTCTCGAGCGTGAATAACGGGTAGAACCCGAGCTACAGGATGAGCAAGAATGGCGTCTCGGATTACGCACATCCCCTCTACGCTGCGAACCTCGAATTGATTGATGCGAAGTAAAATGGCTGCTTGAACTGGAGTCTCGATGAACAGACCTGCGACCCTTTCGTCTGTTTTGACGATACTCGCGTCTTACGTCGCTCTTTCGACCTTCAGCATCCCTCTCCAGTTTTGCAATTCTGCGCATAGCATCGGCCAGAACAGATTGCGAAGCATCCATTTTTGCTGGTTTATGTATTCCTCTGCTATTTTTCTGTTTAACAAGTAAGAACACGTGCGACTAGATCAGCACAACAAAACGTAATGAAATTCTACAAAATTCTTTTAGAATTGTGAAATGTTGTGACTAGATCTGGCAACTGGCGTTACTACGAGTTATTGATCTCGAGAACGAGACAGTGTGGTATAATTTGCCTACCCTTTTTCCTATCATTAGGTTTGTTTTTTACATTTTCGGGCTAGTTTTGAACAAATGAGCGTAAGTACAAAATTTATGGCCAAGAGGGGACCACATACACTACACTCTACCTAGGTGAGGTACCGTGATGAGCTGACGGCATAATAGACCGACTTGTCACAATGCTTTATTCAACTATATATCTATCTAAGTACGAAATGCCCTCACAAAAGTGAATAAACTGCCCAAAACCACCATGGGAACGCAAAAGCCTATTTTCGTGCCCGAAACTAAGAGCACAACCAGCCACTGACGTAAAACCACAGACCGTGTCAGCTGATACGACCTATCTTAAGGGATTCTCCAGTTAACGAAAAACTACCGCATGGCGGTGACGTCGTTGCATCTCTCTCTCTAGCAACAGCAATTTCATATGTTGATACGGACGGCAGTCACGGAAGGGCTTAAAATGTCCAATCGCACAAAATTATAAATTTAAGATTAGCGGCAGCAAACACAATAACGTTAAACTAATGGTTCATTTGATATTTTTTCACTTATCAATCAAAGAAAAACAGCTAAATATGCACATATTAGTTGCGTTCCCTAACTCGCAAGAATTTGCAAGACTTTACAGAAATTTACCAAAAAGCGTTCCCGTACTCGGTTCTCTGGCAAAGTAGGGAAAAATGGGAGAGTAGAATCGGTCTTCTCTTTGACAGAAGTTATTTTACCCGAAGAATATTTGCTGGTAAAATCTGGTAAAGTGTCAAACCATCAGCTGTTCAAACAAATTGAAAGTCGAGTAAGCAAAAACAAAAGTACATACATCTACATTTTCACTTTAATTAATATATCGTATAGAAGAATATCAAGTTTTGTAAGTATTTTTGTTAATTTGCATGTGTATTTGCGTATAATTTAACAGATCGCCAAATAATAAAAAACTGCAATGTAAACAAAAAAATGGCGTCCATGGTGGATTTGACACTTTTACCAGTTTTTACCCGAAAAGCGTTCCGTACATTTTGGATTTGCTCTCTTTCTCTGAGAGCAATTTTGCTTTTTGACAGTTTTATCCAGAAAAGTTGAGGAACGAAACTTTTAGCTAAAATTTGAATGATTAAAATTTTTCCTCTTCTTCTGGCAGTTTGACAATGTTCATAAACTCGCCCGGAAAAATAGTCCGGCCGACATCGGGCTAGAATGAAGCAAATATTACTCGCTCTGACTCTCAACACCCCGAGAACCAACCAAAGAGACTTATTGTGCGTCCCGGTTTCAAGAATGCAAAAGTTGGCAACACTGCGACCCACAGACCCATTGGGAGCTGTTTGACTGCTCAGCTCGGAAATTTGCAAAAAATACGATATTTCAAACCGAAATTATTAATAAATTAGTCAACAGATGTAAAATTTTTTTTTAAATAAAACAGAATATTTCTATAAGTGTGTAAAAATTTTTTGATCCAGATCATGCGCTTGGGCTCAGCAACCCAAAATCGTTGTACAAATAACTAAACCGTACCCGGTGGTCCGCAATTATTTTCTGATTTTAATGGTATACAAGTTTTATGTGGCAAACATATTTTCGATATATGGAGGAGCAAAGGGGAATTTTTGAAAAACGGGCATTATTCTGCACTAGTTCCCCATAATTTTCAAAGTTTGAAAAGCTAAATTTAGTTTTTTTTAGAGATATATTAAAAAGAAACTATTTAAATGGACGTTACTGTTTGGAAGTCGAACTGGAGGACTTAACAGGCTACGACGAGGTTTTGGCAGATAAATTGCATAAGCAACCTACTGAACATTTACAAATATTTGAAGAAGCCGCCAGAGAGTTCGCAGATGAGATAACATCTCCCAGACCTGAACTTGAAGAACAGTTGCATGATATCCAAATATTACTTTCTTCCAAAGCTAATCCAACGAATGTGCGTGATTTAAAATCAGACAGTGTTTCTAAATTGGTAAAAATTGCTGGAATTATTGTCTCTGCGTCAGGTATTAAGGCAAAGGCTACTAGAATGTCGATCATGTGCCAGTCATGTAGCACCGTCTTGCCGAATTTGAAAGTAAATCCTGGTTTAGAAGGCTTTGCACTTCCTCGAAAGTGTACCTCGGATCAGGCTGGACGTCCCCAATGCCCATTAGATCCATTCTTTGTAATGCCAGACAAATGTAAGTGTGTGGATTTTCAACTTTTGAAATTACAAGAGTTGCCTGATTTTGTACCACAAGGAGAGATACCTCGGCATTTACAACTATTTTGCGAGAGATCATTGTGCGAACGTGTTGTACCAGGTAACAGGGCTCTTATACAAGGTATTTATTCTATTCGAAAAATTGGAAAGCCATCCCGACAAGATGGCCGAGAGAAAGCCGTTGTAGGAGTTCGTGCGCCTTACATGCGCGTTGTAGGGATAACAGTTGACACCGAAGGATCTGGTGCAATATCTCGTTACAGTAATGTGACAACGGAAGAAGAAGAAACGTTTCGCAGGATGGCAGCATCTTCAGATATTTATGATCGATTATCCAAATCTTTGGCTCCCAGTATTTTTGGATCAGAAGACATAAAAAAAGCAATAACTTGTATGCTTTTTGGCGGGTCTAGAAAGAGATTACCTGACGGACTGAGTAGGCGGGGCGATATAAATGTTTTATTACTAGGAGACCCTGGAACTGCAAAGTCACAGCTTTTAAAGTTCGTTGAAAAAGTGGCCCCAATCGGCGTATATACTTCCGGAAAAGGTTCCAGTGCTGCGGGCTTGACAGCTTCCGTCATGAAAGATCCATCAACGGTGAATAGTTTTTATTTTTATAAGCTTGGGAGGTACAATACAATCTCATACGATATACATATCGCACATCGTCTTCAAAAGAGGCACAACTTAAAATTACACGTTTGTCAGAAAATACGTAAAACTATTTCTTAGCACATGATAATCAAATGGGCAAGAGAGACTACCTAAATTGTAACAAAAATTTGCTCCAGCGTAAGGCGAATACATACTAGGTGGTGTTGGCAGAACAAAAACAAAAACTTCAATAACAAATTATACGCTCATTGACAATAAGTACTAAACAAACACATCATGCGCCGTGAAATCAGCGGATCCGGTATCACCACCTCGTAAGATTTTCTCGAGCGCACAATTTCAACAAGTAATTTTTGAGCAAAAAGCAAAACCGACTTCAATTCTCATATAAAAATTTAAGATTATCGTTAATTTCTTCACGATCCAATTATCGGATCTAAACAAAATTAGTATGGGACCACCCTTGAATTATCAAAATCGGTTAACGTGGTCCAAAGTTATGCGGTAACATACATAAAAAAAATATTCCGACGAACTGATAACCTTCTCCTTTTTTTGAAGTCGCTTAAAAATGCCAAATTTTGAGTCTTTCCTCTTTTGAATATGGTATGGCGATATGTACGTCGCCAAGACGAATTTATATAAGGTGGTGGTACCAGATCAGCTCATTTTGTGTATGTGTTTCGCCTCACTGCTTCTTGTCAAATGGAACAATTTTGTTTGCATTTCCACACACACTTACAGATTTTGACAGTCTATGCCGCCAAAGCAAAAAGAAAATAATGTAAATTTTTGTTTTTGTACTCTTGCTATCATCTTATATTAATTCGCCTTGTAGGTCGCCTTATAACATTGCTCGTTGGCAACTTTGCTCCAATGTGTTGAACAATTTATGTGAACAAATAACAAAATCGTCGACAGCGAAAAAAAAAATCCGCTACTAGATCAGTAGCCGACTGTCAATAGCTAGTAGCCATACGTAATGCGAATTTTTGTATATGGTTGCCCATTGGGTATCAGTCGCCATACACAATAGGGCCATTATTTCATCGTATTAGCAGAGCTGTTAACGAGTGTGTATAGATTTAAAATACCATAAATTAACTTACCGCGAAAAAATGTGGCATTATCTGCAGTGTTTCACGAAATACTAAATATTATATCTGGCCTTTTAGGAAATTTAGATATTAGGAGGTTGCTGTAATTTGGACCCTTTTTAGTGGAAATATGAACAATGGAATGGTTAAAAGTAGCTTACCATAAATGACAGCACCATGGAAACATAAACTTATTTGTTGTTGTTGTAGCGGCTCGGTTCATCCAACAACGTCGGTTCATTAATCAACGTTGTTGTTGTTGTTGTTGTAGCAGCATACAAATTCCCCAAAGAGTTTTTGGGAAGTGTTGCTGGAGTG